TGGGGTTTGGAGGAGGGGAGGGTTGGGGGTGGGGGTCACCTTTCCCTTGCCCTCATCACCACCCAGCAGCTGAGAGGGAGGGTACCAGCTATCCCACTCTCACCCCCCAGGGCCAGCTCGCCTCTCCTTCCCACTGTGAGCACGGTCAGCTCTATGGTCTCCCCAGGTTAGGTGTAGGACCTGCTCTCCAGAGGGCTGCAGCCAGTGAGGAGTGGGACCAGATCTCCCTAGTGTTGAAGTCAGTGAGGGCCAACTCTCTCTATTATACAATTCTATCTTCTCAATCTTCAGTGGTATCAGGAGTCGCGGACATCAACACCGGCTGCCGCTGAAATAGGGCCATGAGCCCAGACATGGGCCCTGGCAGCAGCCCAGGCTCAGACATCACCATGGCCTTGGGTGGCAATGAAGCCACTCACCTCAGCCGGCTCCTCACTGCTTTTACCTCTTCATATATGCCTCTCTCCACAGGACATGAACCATTCTGTCTCTCTTTCTCTCCACACCACACCATACGTTTGCTCACCATAACAGTGCCTGACTGCCTTGCACTGCAAGGGCCATGCTTTCTCTTTGGCACCTTGGACCTGTGCCCCAGGCATTTGTGTGGGTCTCCTTGTCACGCTCAGTCATGGTGGCGCTGGGAAGGGCCCATTAATGTCCTTCGTAATCCCCAACCTAAAACATTATGCTCAAACTATCTGCTTAGAGAGTTCTTATCAATAAATGTATCTAGAGCCAAATTCAACACCCATTTAGCTGCTTTTCTCTACACACTTAAACATCTGTTCACACACACTTTCCCCAGACTTCTTCTGTGTAATTATAGTGTAGAAAACTCAAGCAGTTATTTTCAATTTCCCCAGAGATGCACAGACAGCATGACTTTAAATGCTTATTTCATGATTATCACAGTATTTATTTGTTCTTTTGTGAGTGTACCATGTATGTGCATTGGGGGGACATGTGTCCACATGTGGAGGTCAAAGAGAGACATCTGGTGTCTTCCTTTCTCACTGTCCATTGCCTTGAGATGGAGTCTCCCACTGAGCTGGTAATTATGTTTACCTAAGTCAGCTAGCCATCTCTCTGGCTCCACATTCTCTATTGCTCATCTGGAGCTACAGACATGTGCAGGCATAACAGATTTAGGGGTAGAAGGGGGTATTACATTATTTCAAAAAGGAGAATATTTTTCATCTTGATCTCTATTCTGAGAGCCTTCTAAAATTCAGTATATATCCCACTAATCTCTTGGATAATTATCACATGTTTATATATGGCAGATTCCGTGTGGCTGCCAAACATGTCACATATATAAAGCATTATCTTCTTTTTAATAAGGCCTTTAAAGTCTTTTTAACATTTTTTTAATTGAGATGTCTTGAGAAATTCCTCAGTGATTAAGAACACTGGCTGCTTTTCAAAACCATCTGTAATTCCAGTTCCAGGGGATCTGATGTCCTCATCTGGCTGCAGGGACCACCAAGCATGCATATGGCTCATAGAAATACATGCAAGCAAAATATCCATATACATAACAAACTAAAATTGTGTGTCTGTGCATTTTAAAATTCCATTCTATTTTCTCATAGTTATTTAAAACTTGGCATCTTGTAGTTCTAACATCTATATCACATCTGAGCCTTCTTCTGGGTTTATTAGTAAGGTATTAGTTTATTTTTACATGTTTTTTTAAATATTACTTTTTTGCCTCCTAATGTTTTGTTGAAATTTGGACAGATTATTGGAGACTGAAAATACTCATATAGATACAAGCTTCTCATGAGTGGAGATGGAAAAGGCGGAGTAAGAACATCTGCACTGTGATTACTTCGTTCACGACACTTCACTTTCCCCCAGTGATGCCCTGAGTGCGTGGTAAAAGCTGTCCCACAGAGGCTCCTCTCAGGGTCTGCTCCTGCTTTGACCTTACTTCTTCTCTCCATGCTGATTGTTAGAAGGACACTCTTGTATCTCATCAGGCATGTAGAATTATGGGACTCAGGCCTTCTCAAGGATACTGCTCCTCTTCCAGCTATAATGATGGCCTCAAAGCTCATTCCGGGCCCCTTCCTGATGCACCCTTTTGTTTATTGATTTTCTTTCCCAGATGAAGTAGATTTGCATCCATGCCTTCAGGTTACCTGCTTCTTTTCATATTAAATTGTCTTTTATTTTTCTTAAAGATAATGAGAAATGATCTCCCTCTGTGTCTCACAGTGCTCCTGTAGGCAGAGCCTACAACGAACAATGCATACTTTTACTCTGGATCCCCTGCCTCTAACACTGTGTTGTACACTATTCCTGAAGGAAAGCCCACAGAGAATTGTGAATCCCTTTTCTCTGGGTCTCTCAGTTTCCACCCCACTTCTCAAGTTGAGTCTTCTTTCAGACTTGTGTCTTTGGTACTGTGTGAATGGTTCTGAATGGCCTTGTGCCTTCTAGTTTTAAGGTTAATGATGTTTTCTGCAGACCCCATTCTCTTAGGGGTCTATGAACCATGTCAGGATTGAACAATTGAGCTGAAAGACAGGACAGAGCAGTGTGTTAATCACAAAAAAGCAAAAACAAGAGGGGGATATGGAGAAGAAAGCTCAAGAGAGCATTGCTGCAGAAACTCTGGGGGAAATTAGTCACTTTTTTTTTAATGTGAATTGCATAAGGAGAGAACAGAATGTCACAGAGATAACACTTGAAGAGATAAGGCTAAGGATGGTGAAAGACATCAAGGCATAAATTAAGAAATTCCTAGGAATGTCAAATAGCCAAAATTAAGAGTAATTCTTCACACCTAAATGCCAAAGGAAGATAACATAAGGAAAAGATGTTGACCTTTAGATCAGCCAGAGATAATAGAAATACAGGAAATCAGTAAGTTGTTGTTCCTACCTGAGAGGAAATTGCAACAACCACTAAGTGACCACATTCGTTTAGAAACACCAAGCCAACTGAGTGTCCACAGCAGCAGTGGCAGCAACAACTTACACCTTTGGTAGGGTTTGTCCCCTCCCATCACTCAAGGACAAATGCATTTTCATTACATACATCTTTTTCTATTTTTTTCCTGGAAAATTTCTCCTGGATCATATGATAATATAATATAAGTTGCATCCAGAACATTAACCAAACTATTATGGGAAATACTGGCCTGCCTATGCAGCCCCTTTGGTGTGTGGTAGACTTATGGAAGGAGAGGTCCATCTGGCTTCAAAGGAAAAAAAAAACCCGAACATGAGAACTTTAGATACATTTTTTTTATAAATTCTTGTTGCTGATCCATATATCCACTCCCCACTGCTGCATTAAAAACTATCACAGAGAGGGAAATTCAGGATGTCATGGGACCTCAGGGAGGAAGCAGATATCTGTTCCTATGGGGAATGGTCTCTGACTGGCACTGAGGAGGTTAGCGTGAAGAGAAGAAAAAATTGATAATCAGTGACCTCAAGGTAGCCTTTCTTCCATGTCTTTGTGGAAATGTCCTGCTGTATTTCTGGAGGTGTACAATGTCTGGCCAACTTTTGTATCTTGGGCTGGATCTATATAGTTATTATAACTGCTGAAGATAAATTCACTTCCGGTGTGGAAAAGGTGTCCTTGTAGATTATTCCAGAAGAGGAACCACTTTGAAAAATAACATTATCTCTCTTGCTTCTCTTCCTTTCTTAGTCATTATTTATTTGACTAGATAATATAATCTCATGTTTTTATATGATCTTTTGCTTTTTCCTTTTTTATTTCTCATTCATAGTCTAGACCATAAGTATGTCCCCTCATGTTCTAAAATGTTTCATTTTTAAGCACTAATGTGTTATGAATTAATAAGCATCTTTTCTGCTGGGGTTCCTCCCTCCAAGGGGAATTTCTCTTGGTGGGATCAATGGACAGTGTTTCACCAGGGGCTAGGAAGGGGCCTCAGCCAGCTTAGTGCCTGCTTTACAAGTAGTAGGACTTGAGTTCAATTTCTCCAAAGCCCGTATGAAATAGCCGTGCCCAAACAACCTAGAAGCTCCTCAGCCAAAGAATGGATAAGGAAAATGTGGTACATTTGCACAACGGAGTACTACTCAGTGGTAAGAAAAAATTACAACATGAAATTTGCAGGCAAATGGATGGAACTAGAAAAAAAAAAACATCCTGAGTGAGATAACCCACACCCAGAAAGACAAATATTGTATGTACTCACTCATAAGTGGATACCAGACATAAAGTAAAGAACAGCCAGCCTACAATCCACAACCCCAGAGAAGCTAGAACCCTCTTCCAGAAACAGATGGAAGCAGATGCAGAAATCTACACTTAACCACTAACCCAAACCCAGAAAGACAAATATTGTATGTACTCACTCATAAGTGGATACCAGACATAAAGTAAAGAACAGCCAGCCTACAATCCACAACCCCAGAGAAGCTAGAACCCTCTTCCAGAAACAGATGGAAGCAGATGCAGAAATCTACACTTAACCACTGGGCCAAGCTCCTGGAGTACAACCGAAGTGAGGGAGGAGCGATAATATGAACACAGGAGTCAAGACCATGATGGGGAAACCCACAGAATCAGCTGACCCGAGCTAGAGAGAGATCACTGACTCCAGTTTGACAAATGGGGAACCTGCAAGTGATAGAACTAGACTCCCTGAATATAGGTGACAATGGTGCTACTGGGGCAATATATGAGGCCACTGGCAGTGAGTCCAAGATCTAACGATAATGCACAAACCCATTTAGTGGAGACCATTCTCTATGGAGAGATACCTTGCCCAGCCTAGGCACAGGGTTGGGGGTGGGGGTGGGGGTGGTCCTGCCTCTACATGGTGATGAGACAGACATAGTTTACTTCCTAGGAGAGGCCTTGCCCTCTCTGAGGAGCTGATGGGAGGTGGGGGGTGGAAAGTGGGGAAAATGAGAGGAGAGGAGGGAAGGGGAACTGAGATCAGAATAAGTAAGTAAATAAATAGACTAGCAATGACCAGGGGCACCTGACTACACCCCAGAGCTGGAAAGACATGGTGTGTGTGTGTGGGGGGGGGCAGGGGCACAGGGGTTTCTCTGGAACTTATTGTCCAGCCAGTGTAGTGAAATAGGTGAGCTCCACTTCTGTTGGACAGCCTGCCTGAAAATATAAGGTGGACAATGATTGATGAAAGTGCCCAGTACTGAGCTCTGGTCTCCACATTCACACAAATCTGTAACCACTCACACATGTTCACTCCCCGCCCCCCACAAACAGCAGGAGAAGGGGAAGGAAGAAGAGGAGGAGGAGGGTGAGGAGAAGGAAGAGAAATGAGTTTCATGGTGGCCTGTGTCCAACCCAGAGTATAGATCGATTAGGGTGCATTTAATATCTTGTTTTATGAATAATAAAAGGGTAACAGAGAAATTCTAGATGGCATCCTAGATTTGAGTTCATCCTCAGGGAGGGACAAATTTGGAATGGGTTCATTTCCTATAGAAAGTGCGGTTTAATCGCCTGATAGGAGTTAATTGTTTTTTCCAGGCTGGGATGAGTCTGTAGTTAATCAGCAAAAAATTCACATTTTCCTAAGTGTAGACAGAGTGGGCAATCAGCACTGGTTCGGGGCTATTCAGTGACGTTTGGGTCCAAGTTGGGGCAATGCTCTTCATGGCGCATGACATTTACAGGAATAAAATGCACAAGCCATAGGAGGTTGTCTGTACCCAGGTTTCCCGAGGATTGCCAATGGAAACAGCACGTCATGTGGGCGAGCATCTACTTTTCTTGGCCAGAAAGTGTCTATGCTGCAGATTCAAGGATGCAGACCTGGACTGGACATGCTGTGGGTCTGTGCCAGGTGCCAGAGATGGCAGGATGCCTCTTGCTGCTGCAGTGACTCTTTTGCGCCCTCTACTGAGAAACTTAACTCACTGTTCCTTTTACGGAAGAAGTGCTTAAAGACACTGTGTCCTAACAGTAGGATTTCAGAATCATCAACCAGCACGAACTATATATACTTTGCTCGCTGTTTAACCTCCAGCACCAAAATCTATTCTGTGTCTGGAGTATTTTACACAATGATAATACATTTTGGGCAACTAAACATTCTTTCTTTATAAGGAACATATAAAAGTCATGTCATATGTAGTATTTTCTGCAGTGATTTATTGTCGGGATCCATCCACAAAGATACGCAGTAGATGACAACTGATATTTGTAAGGTTGACCCACCAGATAAACAATTTATCCGACGGAGGATAAATTCACAAACAAGGTTTATGGGTCCATTGCCTATGAAAAACAGATTGATTCTGTCTGTAATTCTCTTGAGTGCTAACGCGATCCCTCTACCCCACCCCAAATAGCCATGGGATTTTCTCCACAACCTTGACAGTGTGTTCCTCACTTTGGGGCGCCATTACTCCTGTACTGATAGAAGGATGACTTCTCCCCAAACTGTGTAATTCGGGTGAATAAAACAAGCCCTCAAGCAGGGTGGTGGTGGCACATGCCATTAGTCCCAGCTCTCCGGAGACAGAGGCAGGCAGATCTCTGTGAGTTCGAGGATAGTCTGGTCTAAAAAGCTACACAGAAAAACTCTGACTCGAAAAATCCACAAACAAAACAAACAAAACAAAACAAAACAAAACAAACAAGCAACAAAAAATACCAAGCCCTCATAGTTTAGCCTTTGTTACACAAAATGGTGAGAAACTTAAAAACCTGTTCTCTATAATTAGCTAAGCTGACAGCGCAAATTAGCTAGACCTAGAGTCTCTGTGTATGTATGGTAAGTTAAAAACTTTGCAGATATGCACAAGGACAGAGATGTAGGTGTCTAAACCAATATTATTAGCACAAAGTGGTCTAGAATTAGCCAGTTTCTGACTGAAAGCAGAGACCAGTGGCCACTCCCTACTAAGTTACTTAGCAATTAACACTCTGCCCAAACTTCTAACCTCAGTTTATGGTATAAAATTCAAGGCTTAGCTAACTAAGTGTCTATGTTTAAGTCCTAAAATTTATATGGAGGACAAGAATAACAATTACCGATTAACCAAGTCCAGATAGAAACAATTTTACCGAAAAAAGTTTCACAGATGGCCACGACTATAGAGGATGGTCTGGCCTCTCACAGCCTTGAATAAAAAGTTACAAGGTTCCCTCCTGTGATTCCCTCCATAAGGAATCACATGGGGTTATATGCAGGAGAAGAAAATGTATCTTTAGGTTTGGGATGCTTTCAATGCCACTGCCCAGGAAAGTGTCAAACACCATGTCCCCGCTTATGCATTGCCATGGTAAAAGCTCTGCCCTTTATTGTTTACTCAAGGAATGTATTATGGCCCTGAGAAAAGTTTCTGTAACTTTTTATTGCCAAAAGCTTGTTGCTAAATGTGTACATAAGCTGTGTGAACAAAGGAATTGGGGGGAATTGGAACTAAAGATTTAGAACTGGAGAATTAATAAACATCTTCAGCAAAGTGGCAGGATACAAGATTAACTAAAATATTAGCAGCCCTACAATAAACAGAAGATAAATAGGCTGAGAAAGAAATCAGAGAAACATCACACTTTACAATAGCCACAAACAACATAAAATATCTTGGGCATTTGAATCATTAAAAAAAGAAATCAAAGAAGATAGCAGAAAATGGAAAGATCTCCCATGCTCTTTGGATAGGTAGAATCAACATAGTAAAAATGGCAATCTTGCCAAAAGCAATCTATAGATTCAATTCAATGCCTATCAAAATCCCAGCACAATTCTTCACAGACCTTGAAAGGACAATACTCAACTTTATATGGAAAAACAAAAGACCCAAGATAGACAAAACAACCCTGTACAATAGAGGAACTTCAGGAGACATCATCATCCCTGACATCACTCTCTACTATAGAGCAATAGTAATGAAAACAGCTTGGTATTGACACAAAAATAGACAGGTAGACCAATGGAATCGAATTGAAAACCCAGATATTAATCAACACACCTACAAACACTTGATTTTTGACAAAGAAGCTAAACTTATACAATGGATAAAAGAAAGCATCTTTAACAAATGGTACTGGCACAACTGGATGCTGACTTGTAGGAGATTGCAGATAGATTCCATATCTGTCACCATGTACAAAACTTAAGTCCAAATGGATCAAAGACCTCAACATAAATCCAGCCACACTGACCTTGACCTGTACCTCACTTCCTGAACATAGCTCCAATAGCACAGACACTAAGTTCGACAATCAGTAAATGGGACCTCCTGAACTGAGAAGCTTCTACAAGGCAAAGGACACAGTCAACAAGAATTAGAGAATTGAAACTAAAGATTACAGAGAATTAGAGCTAGAAAGTTGCAACTAGAAGAAGAGAGCTAGAAGTAGAAAGAACATGACTGGCTGATTGTGTGTCTTTTTCCTTTAGGAAATTTGCCTACAGTCCTGGTTGTTTTGAAGGAATTCTTTTCTTTTTATCATTTTTTTATTTGAATTAGAAACAAATTGATTTACATGACAACCCCAGTTCCCTTCTCCCTCCCTCCCCTACCACCCCCCAACTAAAACCCTACCTATCACATACCCTTTCTTCTATTCTTCCCCTGACTCAACTTTTCTGCTTCCTCATGACCTCTGCATCCTTCCTCTTCTTCCTTTCTCATTCTCGTAGCTCCCTCCCTCCTCTTCTCATGCTCTCAATTTGCTCAGGGGATGGTGACCCTTTCCCCTTCTCCAGGGGACAATGTTTATCTCTTTTAGGGTCCTCCTTGTTTACTAGTTTCTCTGGCAGTGTGGATTGTAGGCTGGTAATCC